CGATGCTACATTTTAGGATTACGTATGCTCCAACATGTACGTATGCTCGTACTACAGATGGCGTTCACCACGCCATTTGTGGTATTTTCTTGTGCAATATAATTCAACAAATTCACCTGCCCTTTCAACTTGTGTAAAATCAAGCAGTCCCTGTTTTATTTCTTCATTAGCTGTAATCACGACCTGCAGTTACGAAATTAGATTTTTCAGGTAACGCGTTTAAACGCGTCGATATCTAACGAAAAGCTGTTTACTTAAAGCGTGCGGTTTGCGATGCGATACGACTCGAAGCTACGAATGGAGGCAGGAGGTAGTGAACCGAGAGGCAGGCGTGCATGCATACGTGTGTATATATGTCTAGGTATACGTATAGGTATGTACGGATCGACTCGGCTTTGCTTTGGCACTCTAATAAGCCTTTTTGCTTCGCAATGCGATGAGAATTCGCAAAAACGAATGAAACGAAGTGCCTGTTAACGAGATGCACTTGCTGGCTAATGAATTAGTCGGTAATTAACCTGTAAGGGGATTATAACAGCGGACGAAGAGCTAAACTTCTGTCCGATCCATTCTTTCCTTTATAGGGATATAGGCATACAGCCCTTAACCTTTATAAAATGAAATAAAAAAGAACGTCAAAAGTCCGTAATAACAGACGGAAATAATTACTCCAAGCTAATAAGCTAAACCAAAATTTATAAGTACACCTCTTTGAACGCACATTTTGGTCTCGAGTTATTATATTGTAGTATTGCGATTATTATCAGAATGGGTATCTCATGATGAAGATTTAGACATTAGAATGAAGCTCAATACTAAGGCTTATTTTAAATTAACTAAAATTTATAAGTACACGTCTTTGAAAGCACGTTTTGTTCACGAGTTATTATATTGTAATATTACGATTATTATCTGAATGGGTATCTCATGATGAAGATTTAGACATTACATTGAAGCTCAATACTAAGGCTTATATTATACGTAGATGCCAACTCATAGCGGCCTTAGTAACTTTTAGAAACAACAAAATTACGCCCACATGTATAAACGTTAAAACGAAGGCAGCCTTTGCAAAGAAAGTGGCTTTAAGTCTAAGGCGAAAAATATGCTTACACCTAACAACTCATAATCACGGTTGGGTGTCTGACTAAGAGATGAAGACTAAAGTTATTTCTCCCGATGTAAAATCTACATTTTTATTGAAGACTTAAGACAAAGGCTATTACTGTAGCTGAAAGATCAAGTCCACAGGTTGGTGTACGTCTGACACATTACGATCAATATTACATCCACAAATGTAACGGTTAAGACTAAGGATAAAGCCATTGACATAAGGGTACATTTAATCTAAGAGAGTGACGTCAAAGACTAAAATGATTTAAGCCTTAAGAAAAACCTACCAGCTCATAATCAAGACTCGTAATGTGCCACGACATCAAGCCTCGAGGTGTTAACGCTACATTTTTTATTGCAAACTTAAGACAAAGGCTGTTATTGTAGCTGAAAGATCAATACCAAAATCGTATTTTTAAATCTCAACTCCATAGGTTGGTTTACGTCTGGCACATTGCGGCCCATATTACATCCACAAATGTAAAGGTTAAGGTCAGGGAGAGTGCCATTGACTGCGGAAATGGATTTAAGCTTAAGGAAAAACCTACCAACTCATAATCAACGCTACTAATGCAGCCACGAAATCAAGACTCAAGGTGTAAAAGCTACATTTTTAATGCAAACATAAGACAAAGGCTATTAATGTAGTTGATAGATCAATACCAAGGTCGTGTTTCTATATGTCAACTCCACAGGTTGGTTTACGTCCGGCACATTACGATCAATATTACATCCACAAATGTAAAGGTTAAGACCAAGGATAGACTCATTGACTGCGGTATCAAGAATAAGGGTTCATTTCTGCAAAGAGAGTCACGTAAAAGCCAAAAATGGATTTAAGCTTAAGAAAAAGCCTATCAACTCATAATCAAGCCTCGGAATGCGTCACGAGATCAAGACTCACTGTATAAAAACTGCATTCTTATTGAAAACATAAGACAACCGCTACTATTACCGCTGAAAGATCAATACCAAGGTCGTGTTTTTAAATGTCAACTCCACAGGTTGGTTTACGTCTGGAATATTACGATCAATATTACATCCACCAATGTAAAGGTTAAGAACAAGGATAGACCCAATGACTGCGGTATCAAGAATAAGGGTACATTTCTGCACAGTAAGTCACTTCAAAATGGATTTAAGGCTAAAGAAACTCACCAACTCATAATCAAGGCTTGTAATATAGCCACGAGATCGATTTTTAATGCAAACTTAGGACAAAGCCTGTTATTGTAGCTGAAAGATCAATAACAGGGTCGCGATTTTAGATGTCAACCCCACAGGTTCGTTTATGTCTGGCATATCAAGATCAATATTACATCCATATATGTAAAAGTTAAGGTCAAGAATAGAGCCACCGACTACGATATCAAGATTAACACTACATTTCTGTAAACAGAGTGGCGTCAAAGGCTAAAATGGATTTAAGCCTAATAAAGAAACCCGCCAACTCATAATCAAGGCTCGTAATGTGGATAGGAGATCAAAATAAAGGACTATATTTTTAGTGGGAACTCAACGCAGACAAAACCTGTTATGATAGCTGAAAGATCAATGTCAAAACCGTATAACAGATTCTAACTCTTGGCCTGTTTGTACCTGACACATCAAGGTCAATAATATAATCGCAAATGTTAAAGTTAAGATCTATAAGAGGGTATGGTTAGAGTTGGCTCAAACTGATAGGGGAAGATCATCGTTCTCGCATTACTACTAGGTTTCATGAACATACCACTTCTTAGAGCTGTTAATTTATAATAAATAGTCACTAAGGCAAAAACCTTATTAACAATGTATGCGCTATTGATATGTCCACCAAGAGCGCATGGTTCAAAAGGTGATGCTGCTTGTTATTTATTTACGGAAAGTAAATTGAAATTTTTGCATAAATAAGAACTACCAAAAAGCAAAAAGTCGCCAGACTTTTATTAATCTTGACGGGATGATGCCATGAGACTCATCGACAGGAAGGGAACTAAGATGAATGAGTACGTTATTGGGAAAACCACATAGGAGACGAGGTAATTGAAAAAGTTTTAATAAAAATTCCAAGCTTGTATAAGCACCCTCAAGTGAAAGTTATAATGAACTTAGGCAGAAGCAAATAGAGTTTCGAATTGTTGCGTACAGGGTGGGGGGAGAGGACGGATGGGTACCTCTGTATATACCAATACACCCTCAAGTATTTGTTGGCGCATACATACGGTATATAGACTTATTATAAGCGGAGAAAAACTTCAAGTGGAAATTCCTGCCTAATGATGACGAATGTTAGAAATAGCCGCTTTTGTTTAGGCACTTAAAACGATTTAATTTCTCCTCACAAGCGTACATTAAATAATACCAACCAGAACTTTCGTTACTAGCCATCACCAAACAATATTCTGATCGAACTCAGTTAAAATTGAAACTCTGTTGTCGAAGTTATAAATACTTCACATTGGCTTATATCCATACAACGTTTTCATACAGAATTTCGCGATAATTGCCGGAATATTAAAAAGTTTTTGAGAAGCAACAAAACGCGATTTGTGGCTGACAAAAATAATTCACCATCATCTACTTTATGTTTCTCAGATCGAACCTTTCATAATACATAAGGAAACAAACAAATGAATAGATTAATCTACTAAAATTAAATTCTTAAACTCTAAAAACTTAGTGTTTGGGGGCAGAGAGTCAGGTAAACGAAGAAATATCTTCAAGTCGAGTAATAATGAGTACCTATATAAAAGTCACATTAGAAGCGAGCACGACCATGTCTTAATCAAGACCTCAAAATATACTAAACATAATGAACAGCTTGAATATTGTATAAGCCACGCATAAATAGTAGGTCGATATCGATTGCCTGCGGCATTCGTTCATAACAATACGTTTAAACCATAAACAATCTTGGGATGGAAGATTCTCCGATTATTGCTGGAAACTTCTCGTAAATTCTTATTGATTTATGGCCCACCGCTTCCGGCTTTAGGCTATATTAAAGGTGCCATTGTATCGATTTCCTGTGGCATTCGTTCTTTCAATATCATCATCATCATCATAAGGTCGTCAGTCCTAAGACTGGTTGGACACGTACCTCCACTCTTTCCTATCCTGAGCTAAGCTTCGCATTTCCTTAAAACTAGAACAACTCACATCCTTAACTATTTGCTTACAGTAATCTAACCTAGGTCTACCTCTACTTCTTCTAACTCCTGTTTCTGCCTCTAATATGTCTCTGAGAAGGTGTCCTACTAACCTAACTCGCCTATTTCTTATTGACTTCCATAGAGTCCTCTGTTCTCTTACTCTTTCTAATATCTCTTCATTTCTAACTTTCTCTATCCACGGTATTCTCATCATTCGCCGGCAACACCACATTTCGAACGCTTCTAACCTTTCTTTTCCGCCGCGCTCACTATCCATGTTTCGCACCCGTACAACGCCGCGCTCGAAACATACACCTTTAACAACCTTTTTCGAATTTCTAAGTTAACCGTTCGTGAGCGTAGAAGTGACTTCTTTTTATTAAAGGCGACACGACCCTGCGATATCCTCTGCTTTATATCCCTACTACTCCTTCCGTCCTGACTTATCTGACTTCCTAACTACCTAATATAAGCCACTTCTTCTAATTTTTCGTCTCCTATCTTTATATTTGCCCTTTCCCTACTTTTTCTTCCCTTGCATACCAGTATTTTAGTTTTGCAATAATGCAATATCATTGGATCGTAAAGATATGAAGTAGAATTTCATCATATCATCCCTTAATGGTAGGAAGCTTCACAGTGTGTGAATCTTATTCGCGGTTATCCACAAATTTTTTATTCAATATGTAATTGTTCGTTGATTCTGTAGTGAGTTCGAATAAAACACTTTTTTAAGCTTTCTTTTATTTTCAGATCGTGGAATATTTCCCCTCGAAATTCCGAGCGAAGCTTCCGGAAGTTATGTATTGCACACATTCTTGAATTGCACGACGACAAATGTGTCCTCATCCTCTACTTGTCCATTACAATCTGCTTCGAACCTCAAGATTGTCAGTCCAACTAGGGCAGTCATTATTCGTCCGGCCAAACGAGCATACAAACCCGAGGAAGTTGGTAAGTACGTTGACATCGGAATGTACATTTCCATGCACAATTTACATTTACAAAATACAACACTATCATCGATTTACATTACAAACGAACAACCACATGATAGGTAAATTCACTGAAACTTATCCAATTTCATATCGGTCATGTAGGTAAGTTTTAAGTGCATTAGTATCAACATTGATACGAAAACTTTCAATTAAATTATAACTTTGGAACTACTGTTGTCATCATTGTGTTTAAATTCTTGGTTAGCAATTTATTCCAATTATATAACAGTTAGTATTTTAAATGTTTGGAATCGTATAGAAACCATTAAAGGAATACCTGTTTGGGGGTAACAATAAAGAAAACTGTAGAAAAAGGAAAGAGTGGATACGAAGACGCAATAAACATCATTATAGACAGGACAACATTAGGAATAGATATACAATAGTAAAAGATTAATATGCTTACATTTGGAGATGATATTATAGCAGTATTAGCATCTAGCAAGGAGGAGTTAGAGATAGCATTAAATAAAATGGAAGCGGTATTGATAAAACGGAATGATATGAAAATAAAGAAAAGTAAAACAAAAATATTGGTATTCAAGGGCCGAAAAAGTAGGAAAAGTAGGGAAAGAATGAATATAAAGATAAGAAACGTTGATTTTCACTATATAGGAAGTCAGATACTTCAGGATGGAAGGAGTAATAGGGATATAAAACAGAGGAGTGCAGGCTCAAGTCAGTTCTATGCTCGCGAACGGTTAATTTATAAATTTAAGAAACATTGATAATGAAATTGATCTAGAGCACGGCTATATACGAAACGTGGACGGCGGGCACGACAAAAAAGAAAAGGATAGAACTGTTCAAAAGGTAGTGTTACATGCGATTGATGAGGATATCGTGGATAGAAAAGGTTAGAAATGAGGAGATATTAGAAAGAATAGAAGAAGAAAGAACAGTATGTTAATCAATAAGAGACAAGCGAAGTAGTTTGGTAGAACAATTTTCTTTTTTGTCTTGCTAGAGACATATTAGAAACAGAAACAGAAATTACGATGAGTAGAGATGGATAAACTTAATGCTCACTTGCTCACAAACAGCCAAGAGTGTGGGATATACTGTTCGTTTCAAGAAGTTAGAGATATGTTCCTTCCCTTTATTAGGATGCGCCGTAGCGTAATTCCAAATTCAATCATATTTGTCTGCGGAGCTCATTTCTACACCGATCATCGAGCGAGAACTAGACAAAAGTATACAGTACCATTTGCAAAATTATTTAAACTGCCTCGTTAAAATTTAAGAGTATGCTTTATTTAAAAGCATATGTAGCCAAAAATAATAACAAGTGAATTAACTTAAGGTTCTGCTCACCTATAAAACTTTTGCTTTGTTTTCTATTGTTAATTTATATACATTTTTGTTTTATGAAATTGCTAAACATTTTCGTCTAGTACTGTATAGTTCTAGCCGATCTCCTAAGAGAGCTCTGCTCGTTCAAGCTTGTTCCAACTATTTCTGTCTTACGCCTAGTGTGTATTATTTCTATCCTCGCGTAGATTTCTTCAAGGTCACAATTCTAACAAATTGAAATAGACTATACTAGTTTTAGAGGAATATGAAGATTAGCTCAGGAAAGGAATGCAAGTCCAACCAGACGTAGGACTGACGACCGTATGATGATTATGATGATAATGATTTCATCAAATGTTAGACAAGAGCATTACGAAGCTCCCTGTTACAAGTAAAAGTTGCACTTGTTTTGCTTTTGTAATATCCACGTCACAAACACGAATATTAGACAAAATATTTTTGATGTTAATAACCCCGAATTTCATGTTATTGTAAGCATTAAATAAACCAATGGTATCGCAGAGAGCTGCAGCACGTTTCAGTTTGTTGTTGACTGCGAAAAGCAGGGCACAATGAAAGCGTCAATAAATGCGAATCGAAGATTGAAAACGCTCTCAATAGTCTACGGGAAGTGCGGCATTCAAAGCGGGGAAAAAGAAAACAAACGCAACACAAAAAAAAAACGGTCAGGCCGTTCCATACAATAGACACCCTCGTCATAAACAGCTGCTGACAGTATACAGTACGGCCAAAAATCGCAGAATCCTTTGTGGACTTTAATGCTCTCCCTAAAACATTCGAATAGAGCTTTTAGGATCCAATTTGTTTGAATTGTTGGCGTAAGTAGTCAAAAATAGCTTTAATATTAAAATAACAGTTCCTTTAAAAGCTTTCGTTCTAAAATTGATTATGTTTGCACAGAGAAGGACTATGTACTTATATGACCAAGTTTTTAGGTTTTTTACGCAATATGAAAATAAAAATTAGAAAAAAAAATTCAGGAAAGATCTTCAAAGGTACAATTCTGTTGTTACGAAATTCTCTGATATTTTCTTTTAGAAGGAAATATTTTTCTTTTTTTCCTAAAAACGGAAAAACAGAAGATTAAATTTATACTCACATCAGTTTGTCTATCAACCGTTCTTCTGAGAAACTGTTCAGTGACGGAAAATCTTATTTTTAGGAACATACATTTTAATCCTCTTGGTTTGGAAATCGAAAACATACTTAACGAAAATTTCTTTAGTAATATAACAAATATTTGCTACTGGACTTTTACGGGCTTCTTTTTCTTCCGTTCAAAACAGAAAACAGAGGGAGAAGTATCGATTCTTAGGAAATAATAAATTTGTGACCAGAATAACATTGGGATACAACATTTTAAATTTGTTCATCAATGTCAGAATTTCTGATTGTAAAATAAATCTAAAGTGTCTGGACTACCGAGCTTCGCTCAAGATAAGTGCAGAACGTCCAGACAGATCTATTTTATATGTTATTGTTTTTAGGTTAGAAATGAACAGGTATTAGAAAAATTAGGGGAACAAAGGACTCTATGGAAGTTAATAAAAATAGGCAAGATGGGTTGGTAGGACACCTTCTCAGGCATGAAGGTCTAGTCAGAGACATATTAGAAGCAGAAACAGAAGTTAAGAAGAATAGAGACAGACTTTGATTAGATTACTGTTCGCAAATTGTTAAGGATGTGGGTTGTTTTAGGGAAAATGCGAAGATTAGCTCAGGATAGGAAGAAGTGGAGATGCGTGTCCAACCAGTCCTAGGAGTGACGACCTTATGATGATGATGTTTTTAGTTCGTAACCCAAGGTTTTCTATTTCCAACATCATCATAGGGTCTTTAGTGCTGAGACTGTTTGGACACGTACATCTACTCTTACCTATCCTGAGCTAAACTTCGCATTTCCCTAAAACTAGAACATCCAACATCCTCTTTGTGAACAGTAATCTAACCTAGGTCTACCTCTACTTCTCTTAACTTCGGTTTCTGCATCTAATATATCTCTAACTAGTTCTTCATGCTTGAGAAGGTGTTCTCGCAACCTTTCTCACCTATTTTTTATTGACTTCTACCAGCCCCCCTGTTCTTCTATTGTTTCTAATACCTCCTCAATATATATTGTAATCTTTTCAAATAATTTTTTAAAAATAAAAAGTTCATAGCACCCTGTTCAAGTTCATTGGAAACCAAATTATGCATATCTAACCATATAATCAACCTTTACGTTTATAAATCCCAGCAAGGAAGTTTTGCTGCCAATCTTTTTCTCGTCTCCCACACACACATATGCCAGGATTTTCCCCCAGCACTTAACTTTAAAGCACAGACGGAAATATATACACACACAAACGCTTCCTCTCCATTCGGACGTTTCTCTCTTTCTCTCTATGCCCTCGTTGTTAAACAAACTCTAACAGTTTCGAGAACAGAAGGTAAAAACGGGCACCCTTTCGCGAAATAGCCTCAGAATTAATTGAAAATGAAACCAGTGAACTCCAAAACCCGGATACCGTTGTTTCATTGACGTAAAACGGTAGCGAAAACAGCAAAACATTTGTAATTAATTAAGTAGCCACACAGTGGTTCGGGTCCAGAACGAAATGCGTCTCTTAATGATTCCGATTTAAATTCCGAGAATACCCTTTCAGACAGGACAACTGTAGGCATAGATATACAGGGCACAAGATTAATAGGCTTAGATTTACAGATGATATAGCAGTATTAGTATCTAGCAAGAAGGAGTTAGAGATAGCCTTAAATAAAATAGATATGGTATTGACGAAACAGTATTGTATGAAAATAAGAGAAAAAAGTAAGGAAAAAGCAAATATAAAGATAGGAGACGAAAAATTAGAAGAAGTGGCTGATTTTAGGTATCTAGGAAGTCAGATAAGTTAGGACAGAAGAAGCAGTAGAGATATAAAACAGAGGATAGCGCAGGGTTGAGTAGCTTTCAACAAAAAGAAGTCACTTATGTGCTCGAGGTCAATAAGGAATAGGCGAGATAAGTTGGTAGGAGACTTTCTCAAGCATGAAGGGCTTACCAAAGACACATTAGAAGCAGAAACAGGAATTAGAAGGAGTTCACAAGTAGTTAAGGATGTGAGTGTTTTGGGAAAATGCGATATCCAACCAGGACTTAGGACTGACGACCATATGATGACGCTTACAGAAAGATGATTGTGTCAACATATTTACTAAACATGCGAAGAAATTGATTTCTAGAAAATATGTAGCGAAGGGAAGCAGAACTTCGACACGATCTCTTAAAGGTGAACGCAAAAGAACTAAAAACTGAACCGTCTATATAAAATGCAAATACGGTAACATATGACATCAAGAAATCGGATGCGCCTCGAAACAATATCAACATCATCATCTTAGAGCTGTCTGCTATATGATCGGTTGGACATGCACCTTCACTTTTTCCTATCCTGAGCTAATCTTCGCATTTCCCTAAAACTAGAACATTCCACATCCTTAACTATTTGTGAACAGCAATTTAATTTAGACCTACATCTACATCTTATATGTCTTCCGCAGGGTCCTTTGTTCTCCTACTCTTTCTCATATCTCTTTATCTTTTCTAACCTTCTGTATCCATGGAATCCTCATTATTTGTCTAAATTTCAAAGGCTCCTAACC